GGGGAACATCACAAAAATTTACAAATCCGGTTCTTTAAGCTTTACTAATTTTAGCACTGCCAGCGTCTCTCGATTTGTTTGTCAAGCGAGTCACTCCTTACAGTCTGTTTACGAGGTGACCTGGGAGCAGAGTAAAAGTTCTACCACCCAGAGGGCTTGACAGGGGGACCTTCAGCATACTGCAGTATACATGAGGGTAAGTTAATTTTCAAGTGAAATTATCTAACTTTAACTAAGTTACCCCTCCCAAAATAAGCAAGTGGCTTAAACTCAAACTCATTCCTACAAAGAAGCCATGAAGTAGGACAGTAATAATAGCATAAGTCCAAGCAAACAAGAAAATGGCAAAGCTGACATTTCTATGCATAGTATCTTCAGTATCACCTGAAATAAAAACAAAAACAATTTAATGTGATCTAACAAAAAACCAGCCTCCCTCCAAAAAAAATCAAAATTATCAAAAAGGCTAATTTGAAACAGGTTTCTATTTATTATCTTTAATTCAAAACCTTACCACTAGTATATATTGAGCTATCAATCAATGAATATAATTTAGAAACATACTGCCAAATCTTACAATAACATGCCCTGTCATGATACAAATTCGGCAAGTGGCTCCTATCCCCAGCCCCCACGTACCTCAAATGGATGGAAGCTGAACTTTTTTAAGTCCCAGCCAACCACATGACACAAAATCATCCCATCAGTGTGTAAGTTAGAGTGATCAATTGCCAACAAGTGATGACAAACTGCAGTCAGTACCTGGGTGATTTGGACGGTGCATCTGGAGCCAAGCTCCCGGCCAGCTTATAGCACAGGCTTCATTTATCATCCATTAATCTCACAATACATGATGCTTTACAAAAATGAAAATTTGGGATCCCATTCACATTATGGTAAGGTTTTACTCTAGGGGTACAAGCTCAAAACTGTTTTACTGATTGGAACGCATGATCAAAACAGCTTAGAGACCACAGCTCTACGTTCTCTCCTTTGCTCTAGGTATCACACCCTCCCAAAATTTTACAAGAGCTACAGGTGAAAAAAGGAATGACCTGCTTTTGGGAGGTCAGCTTTGGAGACAGTCACATAAAGATGTTTAAGAAAACAACCATATGTTCCCATCGCCAAGATTGAAGCAAAGTTTATGTCAAGATACTAAAAAATCCTTCTTAGAAATTACTCTCCAGTTACCAAAAAAAACCTTTATTTTTTATTTATTTTTTTAGTATTCTCTAGTTGTTTCATTTTTACCATTTTGAAATGCAAACCCCTTGAGAACAAAGCCAAAGTCTCAGATTTCATGCTGCCTGAATGATGGCGGCTAATCATCTACCCTATTTTTGGCTTCAGTTTTTACATTTCTAAAATGGAAGGAGCAGGTTAATATAGCTATAAAGTTCCTTCCACGTTAATGCTGTATGGGTCAAAGAGGAGCCGTTACAACAGTCATTATTGAAATGTGCACTGACAAAGACTCCCAAGCATTGTGTACCCAAATACAACCATTCTCATTCACTTTCAATACTGTGTTCAATAAATTACATGAGATTTTAAATGCTTTATTATAAAATAGCTTTGTGTTAGATGATTTTACCCAACTATAGGCTCATTTAAAGTGTTCTGAACGTGTTTAAGGTGGGCTAGGCTAAGCTATGATGTTCAGTAGGTTAGGTGTATTAAATGCATTCTCAACTTATGACGGGTTTATTGGATGTAACCCCAATGTAACTCGATGAAGATCTGTATGAGGTAATTAGGGAATAAGACACAATTCCTGCTGCAATTCATTCATTCATTCATTCATTCATGAGATATTTACTGAATGCCCTCTATGTGCCAGGCACTGCTCTAGACACGGGATATGGCAGTGAACACAACAGGCAAGATTCAAAAAAAAGTAAAAAGGATACCAAGAAAGAAACATGTAGCTAGCTGAATACCCTCCTTCACAGGGGAGAGCAAGATTTTATGAAAACTATGTAAGAGAGATATGGATACATCTGTGGTGATTTTTACAATAGAGTCCCTAAATTCTTTGATACTTCTCCATTAAAAGGAGGGGGTCTGTGTCCCTTCCTCTCAAATCTGAGCTCTGTGACTGCCTCACTAATAAAATACCGCAAGTGATGTTCCACCAGTTTGCAGGCCCAGGACTGAGAAACTGGCAGCTTCCTCTTTCTGTTTCTTGAGATGCTCACTCTTGGAACCTAGCCACTATGCTGTGCAGAGGCCCAGGGCCACATGTAGGTGTCCCTGCTAAAAGTCAACATCAACTGCCAGATAAGCGAGTGAAGACATGATCAGATGATACCAACCCCAACTATTAGATATCCCAGGTTATGAGTCTTTCTAGCAAAGGCTCCAGACACAGTGGAGCAGAAACAAACCATCCCTGCTATGCCCTGTCCAAATTCCTGACACACAGTCCATGAACATGACAATGGCTGTGTTACACCACTATGTTTTGGGGTGGTTTTTACACAGCGACAGAAAACCAGAACACTTAAAAAAAGAAAGAAAGACAACCAGAACAATTTTAAGAAATAAGGGATCACACAATATTTTTCACACAGAGATATCGTGAATCATATTATTTTTTCTAAATAGTAAATAAGTACTGTTAAAGTTACAGTGGGCATTAACTGAAGAGAAACCCAAGATCTAAAAAATCATATTCAAACTCTTATGAGGGTCACTATCGTGCCAGATTATCAAATAAAACAAAGAGAGATCCAATAGATAACCATTAAAATTTCTCATGACATTAACAGAAGTGCCAGAGTTCCGTTTCCAAGTTCATTCATTGGACAATTGTTTACAGAGTACCCACCAGTGCTAGGCACTGTTCTAGATGCTAGGCACACAGCAGTCAACACAACTGATAAAAAAAAATCACTGCCCTCATAGAATTTACATTCAGTGGAAGGAAAGAGACAACAAACAAAACAAAGAAGTATGTTAAATGGTATTAATTGTTGAGGAGAAATATAAAAGAAGAAAAGAGACTAGGAAATGTTGCTGGTAGTGGTAATGAGGAGAAGAGGTTGCCACACTGAGGTGACATTTGCGTCAAAACCTTAAAGTGGTGGGGGAATAAGCCATGTGGGTATTCGAGGAAAGAGTACTCCAAACAGAGTGAAGAGTAAGTACAAAGGTCTTAAGGCCAGTGTGGCTGGGGTTGATTAAGCAAACAAGAAAGTAGTAAAAAAAAATGAGGTCAGAGAGGAAACAAGGAGCCAGATGACATAGCAAATTCCAGCAAAACCCAACAACACTGAAATTGGAATCAGAAGAACCAAATTCAACCAGAGCAGGAATGTTTTTATCTGTTATATTCACTGATTTATCTCTAGCACCTGTAACAGCGCCCAACACCTAGGAGAATGAAGTCTTGGCTCGATCACTTAGCAGCTATTTGACTTTTAACAAATGACTAGAATAACAATCTCTCCCCAACTCATTGGGTCACAGTGATCAAGAATAGGGAAATATTTTGCAAACTGAAGAGCACCATATACAGGTGAAATCTTTATTACTGAAAAACAATTATTATTATTAACAACAATTATTATGAACAATGACTACTCTACCTTGCCCCATTAATTTCAACCTCTGAATCATTTTCTTCCTCCATCTGTCATGAAATTTGGGCAGGGATATCTTCCCTTCAGCATGAGGGAGTGGACTTTAAGTACTTGAAGGCTTTTGTAAATGAGTGGCAGCAATTAAGATATGATTGTTACTCCTATCAACTTTTCCTTGAGATACTCTGAGAAAAAGAACGAGACATAGTTTCCATGTGAAGATTCTACACCCTTTTGTAAAATCCAGTCAGCTGGCAATCTTTTTTTCTGTCAAAGCGCTAGAATACCTAACATGATAAGAACAACTTAAATTCTCCACATTTTATTCTTTCTCTTAAACCTATATCAGACTGTTGAAAGAAGGACAGGAATGGGGGAGCATGAGAAACACTCTAAGGAATGGAAAGACTTTTTTTTTAGAAGCTAACTCATCCAGTCATCTCAAACTGCTTGGATCCCATTAAGGACAGAAAATCTACCTAACTCACTCCAACTGGAGACAGCTTCAGTTTTCCCACCAGTAAAAAGGAGATCATATCATCTCAAGGATGCTTCAATTCCGTAATAAAATAATGCATATAAAAGCAGCTGGCATAAGCTAAGCACTCACTACATGTTGGCAGAATCTGGATATTCTTCATTTATTCAACAAATATTAAGTGAACAGCTACAATATGCCTGTCAGCACTCTAGGAACTGGAAGAGGGCCATAAGCAAAAAAGACAAAAATCTTTTTCTCTCGGAACGTCCTCCTGTTATCTCCTATAACGTCCTCCACTGGCCCGTTCTGTTCTCTGGAACTACATCTGGCTTCTGGTAGTATCTCCTCCACAGAATAGCGTCTTTTGGGGTTCTGCAGAGAGCTATCACGTACCTCTTTCCACCCACCTTTTCCCCAGCCTAAACTAACAGCCTCAGTTCTTTGGAGTAGGCAAGAATTGGGAACAAGAACCAGAATACGGCTGGGTGGGGCGAAGGGAGGTGTCCAGGCAACTCCACGGAAAAAAGAAATCAAGAGAACTGCATGGATTCCAGGCCAAGGTCAAGACAGACTGGTCCAACTCAGGTGTGTCACCTGACACCTCTCCTAGGAAGGGCCACACTCCCTTTCAAGCCCCTCAGCGGTCCCTAACTGGGCACCGGGGTACCGGCCCCAGGGGGCGCCCTGGGCCACCGTGGAGGATGGAGGGCCCGTAGGGCACTCACCCGTACGTCCTCGCCTTTTCTTTCCGGTCTTCTCGGAGAGAATTCCCAGCATCATTCTCGGAGTCTCCATGCTTCCTCCTTCCCAGCCCAGGCCCCTCCGCCCCCGGAGGCCCCTCTTGGGAGCCGCCTCATACCTACGCCCTCCCTCTCCCCACGGCCGCCGCCGCTCTCACCGCCCCAAGACGGCCAGCACCCGGCCGCACTCACCTGCGAGCCCAGGCCCGACCCCTCCATCTCGCCACTGGCGGCGGCGACACGGCAAAGTGGCCGCAGCAACCCGCCGGCCAGCTCGCCTCGAGCAGCCTTTACTCCCACTTCCTGCTTGTGGCCCCGCCTCCGCCGCAGCCGCCAATCGCCCTCGGGAGAGCCAATCCCTGCGCTCCCAGGCTGGGGGCGGGACTTTCCGCTGAAGCTTCTGGGGACCCGCGAGTCGGAGGCCCCGCCCCTGGCCCGCCCCCGCCGTGTGCTTCCAGCCCCAGGCCAAGACCGCGCAGGGCTAGCCGGGGTTGGCGTCCACCGGCCCTTCACGCCTCAACGTGCCCCCCACACAGGTCCAGGATCAGGCTGTTATTCCAAAGTCCCCCCACCACCTACTGAGAGCAAATGCAGACTTGGCTAATAGATAGCGAGCTAACCTTGTGAAAGTCTCTTATTTTACTTCCTCATCTGTGAAATGGGGAAAAACAAGGGTACTTCACAGATTGTCAGGATTAAATGAGAGAAAACGTGCAAAGCTCCTCAGTCAGTGTTTTACATATAGTAAGGAGTCAATAAATGTTAACTATTAAAACATTTGCCACTCCCCACTTTTGTGATCTTGAGTGAGCCACTGCCATCATCTGGGCCTCTGTTTTCTTCATACAAAAGAGAAAATATGTGAGTTTCACTGCTCAGGCTAGGGAAAGATTGGGCAAGAGCCCCACACCTGCATTCTCGACGCCCTTTTGTGGACTGAAGGAACTGGCATCTAAACTGTTCAGGTTCCTGCCCTTGGGAACTCCAGTGGGGCAATGGGGCTCTCCTACCTCAGACCCCAAAAAACACTGGCGTTTTCTAGCCCAGCACTTAACACCACCTTTGTAATTATTCCTTAATGTATCTGTTGCCAAACCGAACCGGATTAAGACCTTTAAAAGCTAAACTGGAAAGGAACGGAAAACATTATGACTCCCTTATTCTATAAAAATAGTTTTAATCATAAGTGTCTAGAAATCCAACAAAGTGCTGGGTTTTCCCATAATAAATACCATAATACAATATAATTGTAAAAATTTTTTAAACTCTATTATTATTATTATCATTATCGTTATTATCATAGTACCGTGCCTGTTGGGCACAGCATCCCTGAGTTGCCCCAGAAGCCCAACCTCTTTGAGGCCATAAGCAAAAAGGACAAAAAACTTGTTCTCTTGGAACATCCTCCTGTTATCTCCTGTAACGTGCCCCAATGAACCGTTCTGTGCTCTGGAACTACATCTGTCTTCTGGTAATATCTCCTGCACAGAGTAGTGTCCCTTGGGATTTTGCAGAGAGCTATCACGTATCTCTCTTTCACCTACCTTTCCCCAGCCTAAACTAGAGCCTTAATTCTTTGAAGGAGTAAGAAGAATGTGGTAACAAGAGCTAAAACAGGGTTGGTTAGGGCAAAAGTGGGTGCCCAGGCATCCATCTCTGAACTCTCAGTGCCCAGCACAGCACTGGGACATGGACAGTGGTAAGTATAATTTTGTTGAGAGAATGGACAGACAGATGGATAGGTGTGTCATCAACTTCTATGATACACGGAAGGACAAATAGAAGTGTAAGCAACTTCCTGGGAGAGCCAGAGCCGTGAGCATTTAATTTGGAAGGGCCAGGATGAGACATTAGGCAAGACTTCATAGAGAAGAAAGCAGACCTGGCCTCTCCTCCTGACTCTGCCATCACGTACTGTGGGTAGCAGTTCCCTTAGGGCTCCTGTACCAAAGTACCACACAGTGGGGGGCTTAAACCACAGAAGTTTACTTTCTCACAATTCCAGAAGCCAGAAGTCCAAGATCACGGTGTTATACTAGCAGACTGTTTCTTCTGAGGCCTCTCTCCTTGGCTGGTAGATAGGCATCTTCTTCCTGTGTGTTTGCAAGGTCTCCCCTCCGTATGTATCTCTGTTCTAATCCCCTCTTCTTATAAGGACACTAGTCAGATAGATTAAGGCCCACTCATATGACTGCATTTTAATTTACTTGCCTCTTTAAAGACCTGACTTGCAAATACTGTCACATTCTGAGGTACTGGGGGTTAAAACTTCAACACATGAATAGGGGGGAGGACAACTGTGTGACCCTGGGCAAATCACTTTCTCTCTCTGTGACACTTTGCTCATTTGTAAAGTGGGGCTGAGACTGGCTACAGGAAGCACTAACCTCAATGGTCCCTCTCAGTTTTGATCAGGTAATTTCTCCTGCTGAGACTAAGCTCTACCTCTCCAGTCCCCATAGCACTTTTTGGATCTCTTTTAGAGAACATTACTGCCCTCATTCTGCAACTATATACTGAGTTCCTACTAGGTACCAAGCACCATTCAATATTGAGCAAGACAAAGAAAAAAAAATTAGTCCCTGGTTTCCTGGGGCTTAGTGTTTAGTAGCAAGAGACAGACTTTAATCAAATGGGCTCACAGATACTGACCTCTTAGATCAGCCTTGCAGTTCTTGGGTGGATGCTCTTGCCTCTATTTGGCCATGGACTCCTGGCATACATCCATCTTTATGGCCCTCACCATGCTCTGCTCAAGGTCTGGTACACGGTAGAGCCTAAAAAGAAGTACTGTCCAAACAAATGAGCAAATGAATGAATACAGTGAAAGTCATGGTTTACAAAAGGAAATCAAAGGGGTTCAGTTCCATAAATCACTATAAGAAGTGCTGATTTCACAATGTTTGACAACTCTTGGCTTTGAAGAAAAATTCCACATTAGGGTTTGCTAATCCCGACTGTCACACGATGGGTGGCAACTGACTTCATTCTGAATGAACTTTTGACTCTGGTCTCATTTCTTCCGTGGCCTTAGAAAGGACAGGAGTGTTTTTTGGAACAAGGGCTTGGGTTTGTAATTATTTCAAAGACACTGTCATGATCCTTTGGAATGTCACAAAGCTACACACATCTGTCAGCACAGAGCTTTTCACAGACACCTGTTAGAAAACCCCAGTGCTCACTGGTGTCAAGCCAGCAGGGCTGGGTGGGGATGAGTGCTCCCTGGGAACATTCGGGCAACAAATGTTTATTGAGCTCCTACTTTGTGCCAGGTACAGGCTAAAACACCTGAGTACAGTGGCGAACAGCAGAGTCTCTGCTCTCCCGAAGGTCAAGTCTTTGGGGGAGGGCAAACACTAATAGAGATAGATAAATAGATTTTTTTTTTAAAGAGAAAAAGTAGAGACAAGGATAAGTGCTAACAAGGAATTATACACCGGGATTATAACACAGGGACCCACATTAGCCTGGGGAGATTAAGAGTCCTTTTCATAAATTCATAAAACTAGGTCAAAAGGACTTTCTCAACTTCCTCTATTTATAGATGGGGAAACTGAGGCTTGGGGAGGGAAGTGACTTCTCCAGGACCATCCTACAAGTTAATGGAGAAGATAGGATTAAGGCAACTCTTCTGGCCCTGCTCCAAGGCTATCTCACCAACCCTCAAAGTGCCTCACTTTCTAACTGTAACCAACCTCACAGATTCTCAGGGCTGGAAGTTGCAGGATGGGGCAGGGATTACTTAGAAGTCTTGCGTGGTCTCTTGTCTTCAATGCATGGAAAGCTTCACAGTGAAAAAGTGAAAGTGACTTTTCCCTTTATTTTATATATAAATCTATATAAATCGTCAAGATCTGGTAATGAAATACTCTAAGTCAATATGGTCTGGGTTAGGAGACCATGGTGAACATCTTACATTTTACTTGCCAGATTAACCAGATGTGTGTCTGTGTGTGTGTGTGTGAGAGAGAGAGAGAGAGACAAGGTAAAGCAGGAAGTATTCCCACAATTTTTTTGTTGGTTGCTATTTTGAGTCTTAGTCACCTACTTATGGTCACATATTTAAATATGTATTCCTATGGAAATTTTTCTGGATGTTTCCAAACTGTGACAGCAACACTCAGGATTGGGTAATAAATCCACCTTGACTTTAATACAGGTGTAGCAAGACTCGCCTCTCTCCTTCTCTATCCATCTATCATAGCTCCGTGTTTATTGGTTTATATACCCACTCCCCCCTAAGTCTCTGTGCTCCTAGAGGACACTTAAATATCACTTCCTCAGGGAGGCTGGACTCCTACATCGGGTTAGGACTCCCTGTTAAATGCTCCCATAGCACCTATAGTTCTCCTAACAGCACCCATGGAACATTATTGAATTCATGTTTTGAACATCCATCTTTTCTGCACACCATGAGCAGTTCTGTGAGCATAGAACCTGGCCCTGATTCAGACATAGCCATGTTCCCAATGCATAGCATGGTACCTGGCCCATGGGAACTCAGCTCAATACTGTTGTTGAAAAACAATCCTACATCAATTCATTTGTATTTATATCCCTGACACCTAGCACATTTCCCAGCCCAAGCTAAGTGTTCGGAAAATGTTGACTTGAGTTGAAGAATCCCACCTATGGCTTTATACAGTTTGCAAAACACTTTTGCTTTTACATAGATTGAGACTTATAACATCCCTGTGAAGTGAGCAGAGTGGGCATTAACACTCCACTTTATAGACTGTGATTTGGGAAGCTTTGGCAATTGCCCCAGGGTGTCAGGCTAGAGACTGTGGAAGAGCCCAGGCCCAGAGCTTTGGGTGACAGGGGCTAGGCTATCTCCCGTGTGACAAAGCTGTGACCTTGGCAGTACAGTCACTGAGGAGAAATAAGTTCAGGGCCTAAGAACTATCTACAGGTTCAGGAATTTTCAAAACTTCATACAGGTATTTTTTCAAAAGTATTTTCAAACTTCCCACCTACCTGGAGGAATCAAGGTGGGACATGAGTTTTGGAGGCTCACATTTTGTGTGCTCTTAGCAAGAGACCTTACCACTTTGAGCCTACATGCTCTCATCTATAAAATGGGAATAGTAAGAGAACCTACTTCACAGTGTAGTTGTCTGAATTAAATGAAAGAATGTGTGTAGTGTACCTACAGCAAGTGCTCTGTAAATGTTGATCATTACTATCTAGTAATGATGTCTCAGACACCTGAGAAAAGCTGAGACCTTAGGGAAAACTCAGCCTTAACACTGATTATGACCCAACTC